TCTTTCTTTCTTTCTTTCTTTCTTTCTTTCTTTTTTCTTTCTTTCTTTCTTTCTTTCCTTCTTTCTTTCTTTCTTTCTTTTTTTCTTTCTTCTTCTTTCTTTCTTTCTTCTTTCTTCCTTCCTTCCTTTCTTTTTTTCTTCCTTTCAGAGAGAGCGAGAAAGAAAGAAATACAGAAAAATCTTTAAAAAGAAAGAGAGATTCTGACTGAGCTGCCAAGGGGGCAAGGAATGTGGGACACATGCTCAACTAGGGGCAGCAAGGCCTGACAGCATCCTCTAGAGGATGGAGACCCAGAGAACTCTGAAAAACCTCAGCTTGGGCAGAGATTGTGAGATTTTTGGCTTGGGGGAGGAGAAAGAGCATTAATAACAGGGATATGGAGACATGGAGCAGTGTAGAAGGAGGGTAGGTACAAGGACAGAGAAACTGTGACCTCCAGAAAAGTCAGGCAGTGGTGAATAGTGGAGTCAGACCTCTTGGGTTCAGAACTTAACTCTACCCCTTGATAGCTGCATGTGACCTTGAGCGAACAGCTTAACCCCTTGAGCCTCAGTTTCTTCATCTGTGAAATGGGAATAATAATCACATCCACATCATAAAGCTACTGTGAGCAGTCAATAGCATAAATGCTTAGCCCAGCGCCTGGTGCATGGCAGGTGCATAAGATCCATTCATGGCAGCATATGTTACACTGAGGGAGGAGGCAGAGGAGACTGCCAGGCCCTTTAGTTACAACATTCAGGAGGATCTCCTCCTGATGTCCTGGTTTCTGGAGGAGGGCTCAAAAATCTTGTTAACCTCCCAAGGGGAGAAGACAGTGAAGGGTAACAGAATATGGCACCCAATATGCCATTTTAGCATATTGACTATTTTGGAACTGTAGGTACTTGAAAAACAGCAAATGCAGAGAGAGGCCTTCTCTGAACTCCCCTTATCTGCCTAAAGACGAATCTCTAAAAGGACTCGATGGGCATAAATGCCCTTCCTGGGAGTTTCTTCTCATATCACAGGAGAGGAAACTAGAAGTCTATACCACATCCAGACAAACTTGGTCACAAATTATCATATCTCCCATCCATTCTTCTAAGGGTCCATTCATCTTTTCTAGAAATCATTTACTTTTCCTTAAGAGGCCTATATTTCCCTTCCCTTTTCTTTATTAAGATGGTATTTAAGCCTGAATTCTTTTTTTCTTTTTTTAAATTTTTTATTGTTATGTTAATTACCATACATTACATCATTAGTTTTGGATGTAGTGTT